AGAATAGCTTGTGTTGTCTGAAGCACTCCTAATTTGATGTAAAAAACAGGTGCTGACTTCTCTACTAAAGAAATAGTCTGGTTTTGTACCCCTTATTTGTTTAATTAGGGTATAAACTTTCTTTCCATGTTGCTATGACAGTTCATACTAAAAAAAAAAAAAGCTACTTAACACACAAAAAAAGCATGACCCAGACACCATCAGATTATGAAAGGCAGCATGGGGATATCTAACCCACAAAGGCCCATCACTGCGATGGGAAGAGGGAAGAATTTCTGGAAATAGATACAACTAACCCTTGGGATTTTGGAACTGCAGCTTTGATCCCGATATGAAAGAAATCGCAAGCAGGCTTTAAGATGCAATGAGAACCACTGAAGTAGCTATCAAGGACCTAAAACCATTTTGGCTTAAGGCCCAAATATAAGAGAAATAATCTGATTAACCAGATTTGAAATAATGGTTTGTGTTCTTAACTGTACAGTCATTTCTCTTACAACTTTGGATAAGGATGAAACTTGATAACCAGTAGACTACTTCCATGCTAATATTCCCAAGTCAGACAGCTTCCTCATGTCACCACTTTTAAAATGGCAACAGCACTTCCCTGTACCTCAAAGTAGTACTGCTTAAGTTCACTCATGGATGCACGCACTGAGACACAGCGCAGAATTACAAACTGAGAAAACCCATTAGTAGACAACAGTTGCTGGAGGTGGGTGCTTTGAACTAGGTCTGAGAATTGTTCCATTTTTACATGGAAAAGCAGGTCTCAAACAGGATCACTTCCCATGCGGTTCAGAGCTCAGCTGCAAGCTATGCCAAGACCACCAAGGGCAGGAAAGAATCTCTTATCCCAGTGTTAGCACCAAATTCTGTCTATAGCACAAGAACAATGTCAGAAACTGCACAGTTCCATCCCTTACCTTATCCACCCTAAGGCTCTAAGCCAATGCAACAGCTGACCAGCAAAGGCTGGAATGTTGGAAATCTGAAGGGGAAAAACGATTTTATCTCTCCCTAAAGCTTTCTTTTAAATGAATAATGCCTCAGTTTTTAAGGTGTTATCAATACTAGCCATACAAGGGCATTCGACGGATATAAGCAACGATGATGCACAGTGCTGAGAACCAGAGTAAGCCTATAAAAATTACTTTCACAGTGCTGTTTCTTTTTCATCCCAATATTCCTCTTTAGCAAAACAATGTATTTAAAATGGCTTTGTGGTACCACAGGATGGCTGGTCTCTTGTCTGTTGCAGACATCAGGTGCAAGTGTAAATAAGGATTATACAAATGGGAGGTCGTTAAAAGTCTGGTAATGCTAATTTGGCATGACACCCCTAATGGGTTATATCTTCACACTTCAGTTATCTAATCACCTAAATTCTTTTAACAAATTTACATTTCATCTTATACATGGAGACTCAAATTGACTTGTTTAATTTTCCCTCCACCCAAATTGTACCCGTGCTCAGTTCATCTTATATATTAAATATCATAATCTACTACATAACAAATGATATATACACACAGATAATACAACTGGACATGCCTGTATACTTATGCATGCAAAACTTCCCCTGTCTCTAAATGTCTTAATTTTTCACAAACTTTTCAGATCTCAGGAGAATCACAAATACATGTATGCATCATCAGAAATAGCATCTCAGTTTGAAATTTACCTTGTTGGTAGGATAATTCTGTTTTCCCAAGAGAAGTGAAAGGGAATAAAGTGACTTTTAAATCAGTAATTTAAATGTCACGTTACAATCCATTTCCACAGTCATGTTTTACAACTTTGCCTTCCTGTTTAGTATAAAAAGTTAATCTGAGAAGCTGTTCACTTTTCCTGGTTTGTTCAGGAAAAGTAACAGCACAAGGAAAAAAAGCTTTACATTATTCACACCTTCTACATAACACTGAGATTTACATGGAAGGTTTAATGTTCCAGTTAGAACATTCCACTTGCACAGACTTTCATTTTCTTAGCTCGGAGTCCTCATGAACAAAATGTGAACTAAAGAAATGTAGCAAAACCTCACCTGGATTATATTAAGATAAAGCTGAAGGCACTGGTATGATAACTGCACTTGCACATGGAACAAAGAACCATATTTATTTAGAGAGGTGGCTGCCTAACACAGCCAACTCTTGATATTAACATGCTACTATGAAATCAAGATATTCTTGTGTCTTTTAATAGAATAACACACTTTTCTAAACAAAGCGTGCCAAAGGGATGCTTATTTTGTTTTTGCTTATTAAAAGATGCAGAACAGAATCCAGTAGAGCAAATATAATACTTTATTTTCCTCATGCAGACCTGAAGTAATTAGACAGAAATCAGCTGATTTATCCAATAGTTATATATTGGCTTCTGAAATAGATTTTGAACTGACCAGTTGGTCCAAAAAAGCACCTAAGTACACAAAAGTAGAAGAAAGCACATGCTTAAAAGATTGCCCAAATTCTTTGCAGACTCTTTCCTGAACTGGGAACTTACATCATAACTTTAAATGGCAGCAAGAAAAGCTGAATGACTTCAGGAACATCAAGAATGGTTCATTTCTTTCAAAATGCTATTTTTAACATGCACACCATATAAAGAACAGCCAAGTGTGAGCATTAGCTCCTACATAACTACATGTATACAAAATGAGAGAAAGGGTTTGTCTTCTGACTGATTGGATCCTTCACGATAATATATTCTCCTATCAGCAATAGTTTAAATACAAATTGGCAATTTCTTAATCCATCTTCTATAGATTTTTAAAATATCCTTGAGTAGATAGTAGGCTTGTTCTTTTATCCTTTTCCATGAGGAGGAATTCAAATAGCAGTGAAGTATTGTGTTAGTGTGATACAAAGGGTGGTAAGATGCTTTATTTTTTTAAAAATGTGTGTCCTTGAGGATGACAGGGGAGGAAAGGGAGAGAGGGAAGACATGAGTACGTTTCACTTCCAGTGGAAGTTGACAAATATAAACAGAACTTTTGCATGTTAAGATTCATTGGGCTGCTGTTAAAGATATGAAAACCAAGTTCTAGCAACTGGAACTATTAAGAAAATACCAGTTTTGGCACAAGGAATATGGACAAAGGAAGGAAAAAAGCCAAAGAAGACCCATAGCTATTTTAATAACTAACCTCATTTGCTCATTCATTTACTATCACTACCAATGTTTTGGGACTTTTTCATTAGCCACATATATATAAGACGCTTTTTGTAACTCTCTGGAAGGCTGCTACCCCTCTCTTCCATTATATTCCTATTCTGAAAGTCCTGCTGTTAGCAGTAATCAGAACTTAGTATTTATTGCAAGACTGAGGTAGTCAGGATAGCCAACATATACTGGTTTAATTTTATAAAAATATAACTTTTTTTTCCATGAGCAACAACAACAACAAAATCTGCCCAGTTCCTGAGTTTGTCCTACAGCCCTTCACCACTGTTCTGCGTTCTCATCTAACACACGCATCCACTTCCCATTTCACTATCTCAGTACTCCCAGTTTCATCTTCCCCAACTCTTGGTTGGACAAAGTAAGCACCTACAGATTGTTTCAATCAACATATATGCTAAGAGTCATGCCAAACTACATCGCAGCTACCTGCTCACCAGGACTCTAGTCTAATCTCAGTCGTCTATATAGTTGCTAACTTCCATATTTTTTTAAAGGCATGGAGGAACGGAGACACTTAACTCCTTCAAACAAACAGGAACCAGCCAGTTGGACTTGCTGCAAGTCCTTAGGTGGGGAACACAGATACGCAGATAATCAATGCAGGCCTTACTTCCCAGGGTGTCCTGGGAGGTTAAGTCTAGATGGGGTAGATGGACTGAGGCACTAGCAGGACTTCACACCTGGAGATGTCCTTGAGCTGACCACTACAGGTGATCATTACTGATCATCTTTCACCATCTGTAGCCAAATTTGATGGCAGAAGACAGTAAAAAGGTCACTTGAGCTATACCATTTTGGGTTTACACAGGTACACCCCCTTGTTTCAGCAAAAAGAAACATTTGGTTTATACAGGTAATAGCTGCAGCCTGACTTTTACAATGTAAATCGCAGATAAGTTAAAAATAAGCATGAACAGGATTGAAAAAGGCACAACACAGCACCAGTCTTGCATAAATACTCATGGAGACATGTAAGAGCACGAAACTTATTACAGTGTCCAAGGTGGCAGCTACCTTCTCCTTCTCTACAATGTACAGAAATCTTCTGAGTCTTAAAATACACAATACTACACAAAGGCAAAGCTGCAGACTCTTAACAAGCTAGATGTACAAAGGACAAGGAACAATGCACTGAAATTTAATTATTTGAGATGAACTTTCCTTAGTAACTCCCCTCTCAATTTCACAAAAACACTTTACAAGTATAGCTTTATTTTTAAAGAACATCTTTAGAATGCATTAAAAGAAGGCATAATTATATTTTGTCATCTGGTATGTGCTCAGTGGCTAAAATTCTGCACTTGAAGGCTGAGTGCCATTTAACATCTTGTGATAGCAACACCCAAACAACAAAAAAAGCCTGCTTTCTGAGCTGTAAGTTGGCCACCCTATGGGAGGCAGCACATCTCCAACACGTTGTAATGCAGGTAATAGTACAAAACCTTATCCCATCTCACCAGACCGCTACCAGTATTTCTAATATTCAGGCTCACTTACAGCTTTACTTTGCAATCCCTTCACTCCCAGTATGTGTTTAGCACACTTATAAGCATACACGGTGCTGCTTCTGGCTCTAAACTACAGTAGAACGTGATGGAATGAAATAAGCTTCTCATCTCAGTTGCTCTTGCTCCTAGAAAGTATTTGTTTATCTAGAGCCAATCACTGCTCCCGTATCTATGTAATGACTTCCTCATAGCACTCAGAGATTACCCACACCACTGATCACTTTATTACTTCAGAATGAACGTTTATTTACTTTAGTGCAGCAGTAACATGCAGGGATAAAGCTTGTCACAGCTGGGCAAACTCACCATATTCCTTACGCAGGTGGTCTGGAATGTGGGGCTCATAACCTTCCTTCTCAGGGACCTCCACAAATTCATCTTCATCCTCATCTTCGTCATCATCATCATCTGAGGCTTTCATCTACAGAGAGATTTTTGTTGTGTTTTTTTTTTTTTTTTAATGTGAAGACCGCTCTTCATTTCCCTTCATATTGAAAATATTTCACAGACATCTTGATAGCCCTACTAAGACTGCTCTATGTCAAAAGTATTTCCCTAATTATGTATTTAATCTTTATCTAAGATTAGGCCTTTGCTTAACATTTTATCTCTAAAGCCATACTCTATCCTAAGGGCTTCTTTAAAGCCCCTTTTATCCATTAGAACACACACAGTTGGTGAAGCCTGAGAAAGTGTGAAGCTATAAAATAAGGCCAAAAAAATCTTAAAATAACACCAAGATTTTGACTTAATGAGCAAATTATAGCCTTATCTCTTCTCCTTTGCTTGATTTTACCCACTTAGCTGCACTCAAATAGTCTGTGGCATGTTAAATAGTATCAAAAATTGTTTAAGAGCTCAAAACCAAAGCAGGCAAACAGGAGGGGAAGCTGATGGACTGGCAAGCTAATACTGACCAAAGTAAGAACATTCAGATCTGTATATTACAATGTTTCACTGTGTTTCTTCACAACAGCTCTAAAAATAATTTGATACATTCTTTGCTTAACTAATTCGGTACATCCTAACCATTCATACCATTAGACTACACACATTACTATGGTCAAGACGAACAAAATGGGATTTTTAAAATGTGCACTTGGTCTATACTGCTGTCCAAAATTGCATTGCTATGACTAGCTGAAAAATAAAAATGGAGTTCCTACCAACTAACCAGAGTAATTAATTCACAGAAGTGGCTTCCTATCTATCATTTCAGCTAGCTACTACTGTATATGTCCAGCAAGTCTCTACATTTATTTTTATTTTTCCTAAGCTTTTCCCGTACCTGAACACGAATTTTTCTTCTTTACCACACATAAGCTAAAAGAATCTGTGCCACCTCAGACATGGCCTGTACTATTAGAACTTTAAAATAGCAAATGCCAACTACCCTAAAAAAGGCAGCAATGATGGAGGCTTTATACTTTATTTCCTTCGCCCACCTTGGGAGTCACCTAATTCTTAACAACATAATTAGCACATTATTGTATGTTTGCCATGCACTTTTACAAGTCTAGGAAATAATAAGGGGTATCCACTAAAACCAGCCCTACCACAGGCCATGACTTTTTTCAACTTCACTGCAGCAAGCCAAAGCAAGAGATAAGGAATGCCATAATTTTTTACTATTTTCAGCTGTGTTCTTCACTTCTCTTACTGCACCTGATATTCATATCAACTAGTCATTGTTGCAAGCACAGGAGGATACTGCAGGTTTTGCCTGCAGCAGAATTTTCCCCATTTAATTCACAACTCTAATCTCATGTCACAGCTGCACAGCTGAGTTCTTTTAAATCACACATACACTCTGAAGCCAAAAAACCTAAACCCCAATCTTGGTTTACTGAATGCAGTTGAAAATTTAAAAGAAATAATAAATTAAAAAAAATAATTGGTATTTCTTTTTGGTCAGTATTACTTGTAAGCTGGACTGAATTCATTTATCTTAAAGAATATTAATTGTATTAATGCACATATTGATACACTTTAACATATAATGAATGGATGATCAAGTTAGAAATATGATTCTTCCCTTTGTTTAAAAAGCTGCAGTTCCAGTGGAGAAAAAAAAAAAAGAAAAAAAGATTTACTGTCCTGAAGAATAGAGTAGATTTACTATTTCATTCTTACCAGAGAACACCTAATTAGTCCTCATTTTAAAATAAAGTCTCAGCATAATCATGTTTGAAAGTACCCTGGTGCCAAAGACGGGTAACAACCACAACGTAGTCTCTTCAGTCCAATTATCACTACCTTAAGAGTTGCCAACCTTCAGGCTACGCTGGAGGATCCTGCACACTAGTTTACTTTTTGTTTCCCACTACAATGTTTCTTCCTCACCTAAAAGAAAGAAGCAATTCAGGCCCTACCTGGCATGGCCAAGACAGATGCACGCTGAACCTGACCTCTGCAGCAGAAACAAAACCAGAGTTCTAATGCAAAGAAAGGGTCCAATATTCTACCACTAATCGCAAACTCACAAAGGCACTAGACAGGAAAGAAGAACGTATGTGTTAAACTGCAACTTTTAGGAAGATCTTCCTGATGGCCTTTAGAAAGAAAAACATCATCAGGTTTTGCACTCTGCACAACAGAAGATGGCTAGAGATTGAAGAGAAGTTAGTTTGTTTACATTTCGTTTTCAAAATTCTGCTGCTGGTGTCATCCCCTTTTTATTTGTTAGGGGCAATTTAATGAAATTAGGAAATGACATCCATTCCTACTTCTCCACCTAGAAGCAGGGCAACATCTTGTTTTCCATACTCAGGTTTCATTTCTCATTTAGCTATTAAAAAAAGATTTCACCAAGCTAAAACTTGCCATGGATGATCTTAGTCTACAGCTTTTTGTGATAATGTAAAAGCTGACTAACTTTCACATTATAAAACAGGGAAAGTAAATTCAGTGTTTTTCTGCGGTTTTTACACGTAAGTTGTCTGTAAGCAAATAAACAGCAACAGGTTTAAGGAACTGAGAAACAAATGTCAAACTATTAAGAGAAAGAAAACTCAGTTCGGAGTGATCAATTAACTTAAATCGCCAGATTATACCCAAAGTATCCATGGGTATAATACAAGCACTCATGGGCACGACATATCTGAGAGGACTAGAAAGAATTCAGAAGAGTACTATCTTTAACCGAAATTCCTCCTAATGTGTTCACACGCTGGTGGAGGCACGTAGCTCTCTGTATGTTAATATACTAAAATTCAGTGGGTTTCACTAATCCTCAACTTGAAAACTGCATTAGAAGCAACTTTGCTGTATTACCTGCATGGTCTAAAACTTTAAAGCACATGAAAAGCCTGACAGAGAAAAGGCATAATCAGATGCAAATTCACTTTGTTTAGGTACAATCCATGAACTGTGCATTCAAGTACTATAGAAAACATTAATCATAGGAAACTGTAATTTTTGTTATCACTCTAACACTAATCAAAAGGGAAACCTGTCACTACCGCTGACCTGTGAAACGTCCCAATTATACTCTTCGGAAATGACAGGAGCACTTAACTTCCTCACTGAGTAAATGACGACGATCAATCAAGTTTGAATAACAATGAGCCACGGAGCTGAAAATTATTTTTTGTATAGAATCTACCCAGGAATTTATGAAAGGTGAAAAGCAACCCAAGGTTTTAGGGGCATTATGGCTTTCAGCTAGTGCAGTGCATATCAAACACTAAACAGAATTTATGTGTTTTAATTTTCTAAAAGGTAGATGTGGACTTGGTGCTACAATGCATAACATATAATGCCAGATTTTAAATATGGGGGTCATTTTCATAAAATATTATGCTTATTGTTCACACCCTTGAATTTCCCTGGGGTCTTCTATTAAATTTAGATTTCCTGTAAAAAAAATTTAACTGCTTAGCTAACTATAAGGAATTAAGACCCCTTTTCCCTTCAAGCAGACATAAAGTCTTTTTTTTGACATAATCTTAAACAAGATAACTTATTTATCTTTCTACTTTAAAATATTAAAGTCATCGCTGGTGGAAATTTGAAAAGTTGCACAGTAGTAGTAGGTAGTTATATCTCAAATTACTTTATGCCAGTGGTACTTCATTAGAACCGTTCCATTTATGCTGGTTTTTTTCCATTCCCTTCCTACAGAGAGGAGGAGACCTCACGGGCAACATTATTAGCCAGGAAAGTATCTCTTGTTTTAATTCCACTTTTCAAATATGAAGAAAGCTCCAAAGCAAGCTCTACAGACACAGTATGAAAGTTCAGCCACCTATTATCTACTTTTCCACTAAAGGTAAACTTTTTCAGTCAATTAAAAAAATTAAAAATCAACAATCCACAATTAAATCAGAAGAAATAAATATCCAAGACAACTTCTGAGTGGCAGAATTAGTAAATTATAATCCTTTAGGAATGAGTGGTTAGGTACTTGCAAACAAGAAAAATGAGACTATGATAAAAACAAGCAATACGCCATTTCTAGTATGCCATATCTGAAGGGAAGTAAAGTATAAACTCAAGTGATAAATACTACAACGTAAAGCTTTTCTGGTAGTGTACAGAATTAAATACGTCTAAGATAAGTAGTCATGCAACTGCTTGTTTCTCAATAACTTGTCAAAGAATGTGGAAAAAAAGGTTCTGTTCTCAAATTTATTCTAATTATCAGGTGATGCGAGGGAAGTCATTAACACAGTTTGGCAGTCTTATCAGAGACAAAGGCTCAACTGCCTTCGCTCTGTCACTAGAGGATGGTCCAGCTGAAGGGAGAGAAGATTCCCAGACATCAGAGGCTACTTGCACTACCGCTACTCCTCAAGTTGCACAGAGAGAAGTTGTTTGTCTGCTCAGTATTAACCTGCTCTATAATGCTGACATTTATTAATTTATTCATTTATGAATAAATAAATAAATGAATCATGTGTTGGCAAAACTATGTGTTGGGCTTTTTTTAACATGGTACTATTCCTGACGAGATACCTCACTGTGAGGGGAAACAGGATTTAGCTAGACAATTCCGAGATTCTTGGGCTGAACTTATTTGCACATGAGAATACAGTTATAAAAAAAAGGACAAAAAATATACATGCTTTATTTTCATTATAATCAGTTAGAACAAAAAGTCCTCAATTTTCCTGATTTTCATTAAAAAGTTAAAATAGTGCTGACTTGTCCAGCTAGATGTGTGCAATCAAACCATTTGCTCCCTAACTCATTAAAAAAAACCCTGAAAAAACATATGTTTCCTTATCAATCTCCATCTTCTTAGAAATACTGAAAACAAATATTGGATGCTAGTAGAAATGTAATCGTATGTTATACTTTTGAATCAACACTCCAAGAGCCTCCAGCTGTTAGTGTAGCTTAGTGCAACCGCAGCTCCAGTTAAATGCCTTGCTCATCCATCCCAACCAGTAATAAATGAACAAAACCCTCCACCCACCA